TGTATGTATGTGTATGTATGTATGTGTATGTATGTATGTATGTATGTGTATGTATGTATGTATGTATGTGTATGTATGTGTATGTATGTATGTATGTATGTATGTGTATGTATGTATGTATGTATGTGTGTGTATGTATGTATGTATGTATGTGTATGTATGTATGTGTATGTATGTGTATGTATGTGTATGTATGTGTATGTATGTGTATGTATGTATGTATGTATGTGTATGTATGTATGTGTATGTATGTATGTATGTATGTGTATGTATGTATGTGTATGTATGTATGTATGTGTATGTATGTATGTATGTATGTGTATGTATGTATGTGTATGTATGTATGTGTGTGTGTGTATGTATGTGTATGTATGTATGTGTATGTATGTTTGTATGTATGTATGTATATATATATGTACATAAAATAGCTTATCAATTGTCATGGTTGTCATGTTGCTTCGGCCTTCTGACGACTGCAAATTTTGCAAGTCGGGCTGTGATTTCTGATTGAAGAAAACTGTTGTGACTTCTCCCGTCCCAAGGGTCCCAAGAACAAGATCTTCGCATTCTTGTTGCTGAGGCCCAGGTAGCCCAACACATCGAAGAACCTCAAGGAAACTCTGGCAAGACGTCGCCATAACCATTGGGTCTCAAAAAATGTCTGTGGATCTTTGAGATGCTGCAGTCAACTCGTCCCTGGAAAATAAAAAAACGTTTGACACTTTGACGCCAAAAAGGAGTTCTTCACTTCACTCAACACCATTTGCGGATGAGATCCCTGGCCAGTTCACCAGGAACATCGCTCACCTCCAAAAGAAGGGCTGTGTTTGCCCAACAAACCCATGGGCCATCAGCATCGTCCTTGTTCTTACTATAGCCCTGTGCTGTTGCAGGTAAATCAGGTAGCTTCACTTTATCTGGGGATGAAAATTCTCGTGGGTAAATGAGTGTCTTCTTGATCGTGGGATTTTGGAATTTACAATGTTCATTTGCCAGGGCCTGGAGTGTACTGCATCCCGATTGATTATTGACCAAACTCTATTTTTTGTCGGTCAATATCTATAGAATTTATGGTACTTTATTGGTTGGAACCTCCGGTTCATTGATCTTCCCAGGTCTCTTGCCTCGTTTCACTAGAACTGTTCTGTTCCTTCATTGTGTCCCTCATTCTGGGCTTGTTCATGCCTGACAACAACTCTTATGTTTAACATCCCTCATCGCACGACCCACTCCAAGTAGACATCAATAAATGCTACTTGATCAGTCCATCATACAGCCATGATTTGGTGGCTGATTTCCCACTGTTTACTCCTTATAAAGACCTAGGAATAGTACTGAAATCCGATGCGTGTCTCGCGTTTGACCACCAGCGACCCAGCGGTAAGTTCTCGCCTCGGTACCGCTGACGCGTCGCTGGCTGAAGTCACTGTTCTTTTGAGCTTCAAAGCTGCAGGGCTGGAATCAAGAATGAAACAAATATGAAGGGAAAAAGTGTAAGAATCCTTTCTCTCTCGAACTAAACCAAATGAAATATGATAATCAAATTGTATAAAATAGCCATTCGAAGCCCTGGTCGAAAGTTTTAGATCTATTCATGACAGCAGGAAGGCACTTCTAAAGCTTGCCAAAACTGGAGATGACCTGGTTCCCTCTTATCACCCCCTTCAAGCAGATCGTGTCGTAGATCGATAGGTTAGAAATTGGAGCGTCTCTCACAACCAGCCAATCATCCCATTGGGGGATTTGCTGCCTTGGGGAAGCCACACCAGCCCCATCCACTTGATATCTTGATCTGTGGCAACTGCTTGGGAAACATGGTTTTTTCTGGATGGACTTTTCGGCAGGAACGAGAGTTGCATTGGCAGAACTTCATGACTCTCCAACCACTTTGATTCCGCAAAGTCCTGGAGGTTTTCTGGCAAACACCACGCCTTTGGTAGTGTTTCCACCTGTGTCTATTGTTTTCTAAACTACAGGGACTTCAGAGAGGTGCTGGGGCTGGGAAGAAGGTTCCAGCAACAAATATCCAACTGTGGCGCCTAAAGAAAATCCATCACAAATAGAACCATTGCCAGCGCACTCCCAGGCAGCGCGATCAGCTCAGAACCGCCTCCGTAGCAGTGCAGGGGTTGGGTTTTTTGGGGCCCTTGGAGTCTTCTTTGCGCTCGAAGGTCCGAGGGGTGAAGATCGAGGTGGCAGTTGAAGTCGGTATCTATAAATTGTGTCCATCAAAAGGGCATGATTCCATGACTAGAGAAGCAAGTGACGCCCCCAAACCACATCCATCAACACTACGAATAGCAAGTGAGCGTCCAAGCTCTCCCAGGAACGTCCCAGCTCATCCCTTCCCCTCTTATATTCTGAGCCCATGATCAAGACCATTTCCAAAAGCCAGAATAAGCACAATAAGGCCAAAAGATTCAAATTCAAATCTGGCTTATGTTACCCATATGACAGATATATATATATATATTATACAAATTATATGTATAATTATACTATATATATAATATATATATATATATGTATATATGATAGGCCATCTCTGAAAGACTGGCGCCTGCCGAAGTCCGGCCAAGTGCAGCCGATCCAGGAGCCTCTGCAGTTGAAGCTGCACCTGGGCATTGTGGAGGCCCCGAACGCAGAGAAAACAAAATCTGGTCGGCAAACGGTTGCTGTATGAAGGTTCAATTTCTCCAATTCAATGCAAAGCAACACCAAAAGCTGAAATCATGATAAATCATGATAAATCCATGTACTCTAAGTTGCCTGCACAGCATGCAGTGTGAAATATCTCGTATCAAGTCCCACCAAGATATTTTGGGTTGCTACTGCTCATCTTCCAAATGGAAGCAGAAACCTGCCAGACCCGTCCTGCGAGTTGCCTCATTGAGTGAATCTTGCTGCTTCCGTACCAAGGCCGTTGTGCCCAGCAAATCTTCCTGAGAAGGAGGGTCCCTGCTGGACAGATTATGTTGTAGTGGGCTCAGTTGTAGTTTTCAAACACTCAAACATCATAGATTCAAGAGCGTATCATCAGGTTGCATCACGTTGAAGTGAAACAGCTGCCCCTTTCGATCTGTTCGGGACATGCCTTTTTTAATAGTGCCTTGAACCTCCACCCGTAGGTGCATCACCCGTCTCCACCCTTCAAGCCTCAGTGAGCTTTTTCTGCAACTCTTCCCGACAAAGACTGCGAAGCCTCAATGATGGTTGCTGGAAAAACATCGAGCCACCAAAACGAGCTGATTCTTCGACTCACTCATGGACATATGACATAGCTCCTGGAATTCGATGCCAGGAAAGATATCATGGATCAAGAATAATATGTGTCTTACCAAAATCTAATACTCATATATATACATATACATATACATGATCCAGTGGAAAAAGATGTCGTTCAGCATCGGCTGCCGACTAGTAGCTGTGGCAGCGCAACGCTCTTCTCAGCCCGCTCTGCGCAGCTTTGCAATCTGGTCAGGAAAAATCGCATCAAACGATCTTGATGAAAGTGGGTTTGCCTTGAATCGTCAAGACACATACAGTAACTTTTTTTAAGTCGGTTGGGCAAGTTGAGAAAACAAGATTCTCTATTGTTTGATGGTCACTTGGAGAATATCCTGCAAGATCCCTAAGTTTCACTTCACCTCTGGAAGCTGCAGAGCCACGAGGCGCCGACGCGCCTTTCCTCCTGTGTGCTCATGCGGCGGCAGAACATCTCGACCCTCACCTGGCATCGCAAAGTTGGAGGCAAAAATCCACCATTTCCTGGTCTACCGAGATCTACTGAGTCTGATGCGGCAGCCAATCGATTACGTCCCAGAATTACAAAGCGATGCGCTCATAAAAATGAACATGATTTGTAACATCCAAAGTATTTGGGGCCGAAGACTCTGGCACATATGGGACATACTAAGTGACATACCCCCGGGCATCAGTCATCCGTTCCCCTTTTTGGCCGCTTCGCAGGCGCCTCACTTTGGGCCTGCCATGGAGCTGTTGGTGCGTCCAGGAGGCCACTGGGCCCACGGCCACAGCCCAGCGACACATCCCGGGCCAGCTCAACCAATGCCCTCACCAACTCAGCAGTGGCCACCTGTCGTCGCCTCAGATAGGTGGCCAAGAGGTCCACCTCCCTGCTACAGTCGAAACAGCGACAAAGTCCTGCAGTCTTCAAAGTTTCTTCATCTCCAGCTCCAACAAAGCTAGGCCTTGGGTAGATGGAGATCCGTGTGACGGTATTGAAGTAGAACAGTTGCTCCCACATGCATCGGTGATCGTAAATCTTGGTGCTTAAGGGTACGTCCTTGCTGGGAGGTGTCACTAGCAACCGGCACTCCGTGGTAGTTTGCGGCCCCCACACAGGGAGCCGCATCTCCCCCGCCAGGCCTTCGGTGCAACCTTCAGTGTAGGGGAAGCGAAATTTTAACAGGGCCCTGGTGGGTCGCAACAGATCTACCCAGTTCTGTTGTGCCTTGAGATCTCCCAACAACCGCTGGTCGTGTTCTTCGGGTGTGTCCTTCTGCCAGTTGGCCGTGCGAATGTCGCTGACAAACAGCAGCGGCACCTCTCCCAAGGTCGAGCGAAGGTGTCGTGCCACGTCATCAGTGAAATACTCTTGATGCACACGAAGATTGGAGGGAGCTGCCGGTGGTAGAGCTGATTTTGCAAAGGGTCTCGGATCCCACGCGTCCAATTGAATATCTGGAAAAAGCTCACAAAGGACGGCCAAATGCTGACCCTCAGCAGCCCCCGCATAAATCAAATGCTTTGCTTCCTCCGCAAAATCCAGCAAAAATTCCAGTTCCGCCATAAAGAGTTTCCGCTGTCCCCAATGTACCGTACTCTTGGGCTCCTCCAGCCGTTGCCGATAGGTCCGTTTCGGGGCGTCCTCCTCCAGAACTTTGGGCAGCGGAAGGTGATCCAACTCCGGGAAGTCGTCCACGGCCAGGGCCACCCGCTGCCAGGTGTGGGGATTGGCCAAGGCCGTCCCCGGATCGCAGCGCTGGGCCAAGGCAAACTCCGCGGCCCAGGAACGGCGACCTGTTTGGCCACGCGCCAAATTGCTGGGATCCACAGGGCTCTCCATGGTCCAATGGTCCAATGGTGGAGAAGTGGGAAAGATGGGGCTGATAGTCACATCATGTCACATCAATTGAACCACACTCAACGCACATGATTTTCTGTTTCAAACTTGACCGAAATGGAGTGAAAAATCAGCGAAATCTACGAAGACAGTAGTCCAAGCAAGGAGTCTTGGAAGCTGATCGTGCACTTCTGAGCTGATCCAAAAAGCTCAAGTATTCCTGCAATGATCCAAGATGATCCAAGAATACCAGACGTGAATTCCTTGGGGCACAAAATCCCTTGGGTGTGATATCCAAATCCACATGTCCAACTGCCTCCACAATTGGATGCGATTGGCGTTCGATTAAGCATGGCAAACCAAATGCTGGCGAAGCTTGGGAATCCCAACCCGTCCGAATGTGTTGAGACCCAATGGGCGGCCTTTGGATTGCTGTAGCAAATAGGAATCCCAACCTGAACCTACCCAGATTTCTGGACTTTCCGTGTCTCCCCTCCATTCTTCGTTCGACAAATATTTGATGTTTATCAATATCCCGTGTCTATGTGGTCATCCCCATTCACATCAAATGTGAAATTTGGCGAATATCCCGTGTTTGTTGCGTTGAATCTCCCTGATTTTTCACTCCGATCTCCCTTATATCTGATGCCTCCAGCTCTTTCAGTTTTTCAGCACGTTCAGCCCCATCTGCCGACTCCCGCCTCAGTAGACATAGCTAGTTCCTGACAACTGACTCCCATCATTTCCTGATGTTTGATGGACGTGTTCGGACAAAAGTTGAGTGCAGGAAGTGACTTGATATGTCTGTGTTGGGCGAATCCATCAGCTCTTGCCCGGTATCTTCCGACTTAAAGGCTGCTACGTCATGGACATGGTTTGGACCCCGCGCTGGAATTTCTGTAGCAAATCAGGGACCTCAAGCGTCGAGGGAATCAGTCGGAGTGAGTGAGTCGATCGTGTTGCGATTCCGAATCACCAAACCCAGAAGCAGGGATGGTCCAAACCATGACATGCTGGCCTCGCCAAGACTTGTCAAATTTGGACAAAAAGTAACACTGGTTTGGTCTGCTCGATCTGGGGGTTAATCCTTCAATTTGATTCATCAACAAAACCAAAAGAAAAAGTAAAAAGGACAACTATCCATCCAAGACCCAAGCATCTCCATATTGTCTTGTCTGAAATACCCTACCGCCAAAGTCCCGATTCTCAAATGGTTCACATCAAAAATGGTTTTTGATTCGGGATGATTTGGGGGGTAAATCCTTCCAGCTATTAGACCCACGTCAGCTCCTGAGGATGTGACTTGCTTTTCGAGGTCAGCCAGCACCAGCAGGAGCCGGTCCTGTGAGCACTTGGATCTCGGCCGCGGGCAGCAAGTTTTTGGAGTAGTGGATTGACGATCGACCCCATTCAAAATTTAATGAAAATACATAGGCTATGGATCTATCTACTTGTCTACCTTCCTATCTACCTACCTACGCTATCTGTCTATCTATCTATCCAATCTAAGCTAACCTAATCTAATCTAACACATTCTAACACTCATATCATATCATATCAGATCGGATCATATCATCTTGTCTTATCTACGCGTGCGCTTATCTATGCATAATACTGAAAATTATATATATATATATATAGAGATTCATTTATTGTGTTGATGCAATTATTGATTTGTTTTTTGATTTATTGATTTCTGATTTGTTGACGTTTTTGTCTGTATGTGTACGCGACATGTGTGTATGCATGTTGTGTTTTTCCTGCCGAGCGGTTTGCATGTTCCAAATTTTCTTGGATGCACATCACAACGAGTTGTACGCCAAGGGTCTTCTTCCAAGCAAGTTCCAAGCATCAGTGAATGCCACGGACATGTGATTGAGTCACTTCAGCACGAACTCTTAGGCAGGCCCGGGACTTAGATAGATAGACAGATAGATAGATTCGATTAGATTAGATTAGGTCAGATTAGATTAGATTAGATTAGATAGATAGATAGATAGCTGGTTCGATAGGCAGATGAATCGATCGACAGATCGATAGATCGACAGATCGGTGGACAGATAGATAGATAGATAGATGGATAGCCCGACGCTCCAACCACCTGTCGGTCCATCAGTGGATTTGCTGTGCCATCCATGCATCACAACAAACAACCTCCCCCTTTAGGTTTCCGGTTTTTCGAAACTTCCGCCACCGCCTTGTGCGGTACTACTGGTAGCTGTACTTGTACTTGAAGTGTCGTGTAGTGGTAATTGTTGCTTGTAGCGTAGTTAAAGTTGAAGTTCTAGTTGTACTTGAAAGTTTTTGGTAGTGGTGGAGTTGTGGCCGAGGTCTAGTGTTAGTTGCCGGTGCAGTTGTAGCTCTAGTCTAGTGTAGTGTAGTGGTAGCTGTAGTTGTAGTGTAGTTGCGGTGGTAGTCGTGGCTGCAATAGTTCCAACCCGTGTAGTTCTAATCTAGCGTGATTGAAGTTGTAGTTGCATTTGTTGTTGCAGCTGCAGCTGTATTGTAATTGCACTAGGTGCTGTAGATGTGGTAGTTGTTGTAGTTGCAGTTGTAGTTGTACTTGTTATCGTTGTCGTTGTTACTGTTGTGCTGTAAAATGGTAATTGTAGTTGTAGTTGCATCTGTAGCTGTACTTGAAGTGCAGTGGAAGTTGTATGTAATTGTACTTGTAGCTGTAGTTGTAGTGTGGTGGTAGTTGTCGTAGTTGACATGTAGTTGAAATTGTAGTTGTAGTTGTAGCTGTAGTGTAGTTGTAGCTGTAGATAGTTGTAGTTATAGTAGTTGTTCTACTTGCTGTTGCTGTAGCGTAGTATAGGCGCACTTGTCTATCTATCTGTCTGTCTATCTATCGGCCAGCTTGAAAACGAAGCGATTGTGCGCGACTTCCTCAATTTTTGAACTTGACAACGGCAAAAACGAAGCAATTCTGCGAGACTGCCTCAATTTTCCAAGTTGACAACATCAAAAACCAAGCAGTTCTGCCAGGCATCCTTCAAAAACGGAAAGTTGAGTGCAGCGTCGTACCAATGCCTTTTGCACTTTTCCAGTCCATTTCCAGCTATCTACAGTGTTGCGCCATCCACGGAACAGTGATGCCAGGTCATACAAGGCACGAAGCGCCGCACACGTTATGCAAAATCTTCTTAGCAGACCTGAAGATCTGACGCTCCAAAATGCAACCCCTCTCAGGCAATCTCCGAGGTGCCGAATCCCTTGCGCCTGCCACTCAAAACCACATTTTTTTCATTTACGCTTTGACTTCCAAATGTGCTTCGCGCCACAACGTCGTGCACTTTTTCGATGTCTCAACTTCCAAAAGTGGTCCGGAGCTAGTGTGCTTTGTACGTTTTGGCTTCCACATGTGCTTCGCGCCACAACGGCGCGCGCTTTTTCGACATCTCAACTTCCAAAAGCGGTCCGGAGCTGAGGTGTTTTGTACAGTTTGACTTGGAAATGAGCTTCGCGCCACAACGGCCGCAATTTGTCATTTCTCATCTGCCCAGATGTCCCCGCACCCGCCGCTTTAGCGAGCCTCGTTTTCGACCCTCCGGAGCCACAAAACATTGGAAAAACACAGTGTTTCGTGACTTTTCTCGCTTTTCACGCACATCTTCTTTCTTCTGACTCTTTCTCTTCTCTTCTCTTCTCTGATTTTTCCCACCTCTGCCTTTCCATCTGTCCATATTGTCGGAAGTTTGACTTCTAAACTTCCTTCCAAATATCTATATATATATATATACATCTATATATATATTATCTTTATATTATATATATATACAATCACATATACTGTCATTTACAGTGCATTACGCGTGTTTCTGTCTTCTGGATAACATCCATAGATCCCCTATACTATACATAGCAGTCACAATATCCTGGGTGAAGCACCCACTGCTAAGCCCACCGATCTGCGAAATGGGTCACCACCAAGTCATATCAACTTGATCAAGATCCATTTAATTATTTATCTGCTGTTCCTATCATATAATATGATGCTGTTGTACCCCCTTTACAATCAGATCGTCACCTTCTCACACAAGCACGAGCCAGTCCTCCAAAGTTTCCCGGAGGTCCAAACAGAAGTGCTCCAGCTGCTCCAACTGCCGCGGCAAGGGTGTAAGAAAGACGTGAAACTCTGAATCCCAAACATTTGCAAAGACCGTAACTGTCTCTTCATCTCCGCCTTTGCTTGCCTGAATCCAAGACCGCATTTACAAAATCCTTGAATGGCAAGGGACATCTCACAACAAAGCTCCCTGAATGTGTTAGTATCCTCTGCCGCGTAAAACAGGTTTCTTTCTCTATCTTGACGTTACCATACTTCACCCATCACATCCTTGCAAAGAAGCCTGCCTTGTCTTCAAAAGGCATTGCCCCTGCTTTTTCTAGGCTTGGTGATCCGGGTTCAGCAACCTGCAACGACATCAACAGCATGGTGAAACTTGATCAAGGCACCAATCCACGATTGAAGCACCTGAACTGACAACGAAGGACCCTCACATCTCCTGGCAACTGTGACTGGTCAGCCACCCGGGATGGAAACAAAACGAAAAGGAATCCAGATAAATCCAGCAACCAGATCTTGATTCTAAAATGAGCCGCAGCTCATGGGTCCATATGGGTCCTGGGCTGAACTTCCAACATAGCTTCAAACCACAAGACACTGCGGGCCCCACGGGTCCTTGAGACAGATACCTGGCAGGAGCTATGTTCGAGACTGTATCTTTGCTGATGAGTTCACCCCTAGCCAAGACATAGACATAGCACAAACCATAATTTCAGCACACTTCAGAAAATGAGCAAGCATTTATAATCATGTCATGGATTCCTTCCCGCTCGTTTTTTGATATTGTTCTTGCTTTTACAACCCTTCCTGCATCTTTCCTGACGTCATGGTTTTGTTGATGATTCTCGAGTTTGGAAGCGTCACGTCTCTCCTCCAATCATGAGACCTGAAAAAGTTGTTCAGAATAGACATGAATAGACCCTTTATATCGTTTTTTGAATGGTTTTTTCCGCAAGTCCCTCACCCATCTCACCCAATCCATGGCGAAACTGCTCTGCAACTCTTCGCCAGGGCTTTGCCGGAGGTAAGCTGCTTTGCTGCAACTCCACGGCAGCATACAAAACTGCAGGACGTTGCGCAGGGTCCGTATAGGAGAGATAGATGGCAAAGAGTTCTGGGTCAAATTCACAAGCGCAAAACACCTGGTGGCTGAAAGGGCAAAAGAACACGAAGTAGAAGGGCACAGCATCTGAAACATTCACACATTGTATATGGATATGCTATTGCAGCTTATCAGAATTCAAAACACTTTGAGAAATCACAAGGGGAGAATACTCAGGAAACCCAGGGGAACCGTCTGCTTTAAAATTCTCAGGCCAAAGATACAAAACGTCAACTGTGTACAAGCACAAGCAACTGCGACACAAACGACAACTACCCATCAGCACAAAAAGATGCCTTTCCTTCATGCATTGCCAAAACGATTTGCGCTGTCCATGTTCCAACCCTTCAGCTGCTCATTTGCCCTTGGAGAAACCACCACGAACTGCTTGCAGCAAGTCGCGTTTGTCCAAGTATTCTCGTTGAAACTGGGATGCCACCAGAAAGCGTAGATGGGAACTAAGGCCTGGCAGGGGACTTAACTGCCATGATGGAATCTTTGGGTTCCTGAAAAGCAGGGAACCACTCCGGTTGAGACATGGGTGTGAATCCAAACTGTCCTTTTCTATAGTGATCATCCAGAAAACAACGGAACAAACCCTAGTTGAGTATTATATTATGGTATGATTGATTAGCAGAAAAAATGAGGAGAAGCCGTTGGACTTTTTAGCGTTCCCAATCTTGAGACAACCCCATATTGTGCATGTTTTCCCATGTTTTCTAGATTCTCTAACGTGTTGAAATTGGGGTAAACTGCATCGCCGTGAAAGTCAAAAGCGCCTTGGGATGGAGCACGAAGCAAAGGTAACCCAGTTGGTACAGCTCTTTGACCGTCTGTGGCGGACATCTAAGCGAATTTGACCAAAGATGATCGGATTTGTTGAACTGAAGCAGAGCAGGTATCAATATCAGTCAGATGAATCCAAAATCATTTGAATCTGTACAGTTGAAAGTACCCAAAAAATCCAATAACAACGTATGACAACTGAAAAAATAGTCTCAAGAATACTCCCCCCCCCAGTACTGATAAAGCAGGGGTTGCATAATGCGGGTAGACAATGACAGACTCTGGTGCCTGCTGGGTTAAATTTTGCAGTTGGTAGATGGCAACTGTGCGTACCAAGGTGTCCCCAATCATGGTCAGTAGTCAGTAGGTCACTAACGAATTCAGATTCCTGGGGCGTGATCATCCAAGTGGCAGACATTGTCATCACAATTGTCGTCACACTGCGACACTCCCACCTGGTCGAGTCGTATTCCGTGGCCCGCGGATGCCCAAACTCTGTCAACTTCGAAGATCAAATACCTCACGGTCAAGTTATCAGAATGATCTGCTGCATCAGCATCAACAACCTGATCATCGTCGTTGTTGTCGTCGTTGTCGTCGTTGTTGTCGTCGTCGTCGTCGTCGTCGTCGTCGTCGTCATCATCATCATCATCGCTATCATCATCACCTTCATCGTCGTCATCATCGTCGTCGTTGTCAGAAGCATCATCGTCATCGTCATCGTCATCATCACCATCATCACCATCATCATCATCATCATCACCATCATCACCATCATCATCATCATCATCATCCTCATCATCCTCATCATCATCATCATCCTCATCATCATCATCATCATCATCTGCTCCTTCTGCAGTGTAAACAACATCATTATCATTAGCATCATCGTCGACATCTTAATCATCATCATCACCACTACCACCAGCAGCAGCAGCAGTAGCAGCAGCACCATCAATTGCATCTTTATCATCATCAAAACAGCATGCACGCTGCCAAAGATACTTGAGAACATCTGCTCAAGTCTTCCCTCTTTTCCGCAGCACAGGAATCTCACCCGACATTTCAAGAGTCAATCCCTAAAGGTTTGCCGTAAACGCACCCTGCCTGACCCGGTGCTTCCGCAGCAATTCTTTGGCTCCTCTGAGCACCAAAGGGTCAAAGCCTTCAGCATCGATCTTCAACAGGAAAATCTCGCCCTGCGATCAGCTGCTGATCGGCCTATAATTTCTCGCCTGTGCTGACTGGAGAACAACTTTTATCTTTCACAAATTGGGCAGAGAACAAGAAATATCTTAAAGAATGCAGTCCTTTCAATTGCACGAGCACCTCCTCAGTAGCAACCAATTGGGATTCAAATCTAGATTTTCACATGCCATCTCCATTTGTGGTCACCTCGAAGTCTTCCCATTGCAAATACCAATCCAGCGTCACCACATCCACTTCCGTTTGAAGCGTGGCATTGGGATGCCGTCGCAAAAGGCTCACCTGGCCACAGACGCCACTTCCGTTTGGTTTGCGACGGATCATAACCACTATAAAAACCTTAATGAGCTCGTGATATGAAAGAAACCGAAAAATGCACGCAGGATTTAGCAATTTTAATCTACATATTATATACGTATATATATATATTATATATATACTGTGTATGTGTATATATATATACAAACTATCACACTGTCTATGATGGTCTATGTAAGATTCTTGATTCATTTGCAAATGTTCGGTGATCCCAGTAAGGTGGTCTTTGCGCTGGCTGGTCAGTCAATTGGGATCCTCATTCCACATGAGGTGGAAAACATCCTACGCTTAGAGCCACAAAACAGAAAAGTATCAAACTTCCGAAGAATCGCGGGAAAAAACTGCACAGGCTACAACATGTTGTCTCCTAAATCCAAGTATGGATCAAGTCTGGGTCAGTCAAAACAACCGATTTGAAGTATGAAAACATGGCCGGTCCTTTTCCCCCCCAGTCTTGCACCAACACTCCCACGGCTCCCCAAGTTGGATGCACCTTGCGTGACAGCGAGCCCCCTTGGGTGACGCCATGCAGAATCTGCCGCCCCAAACGGTTTGACACCGCGGCCTCAACCATAATTAGGCCCAAGCCTGACAGGGGCGACGGCTGCGACATCCTCGTTTTTTTCCACGGCATGTGGAGGTTAGATACAATACACGCTAAAGACGCATGAATCAAAACCGATTCCATCCAAATAATTGGGGTGGATTTGTCTAGGCTTGCAAGGGAAAGGGCCGGGTCCTGGTTCTCGGCCCAACAGCTTAATGCTCGCTTATCAATGACCCCACATCACAGACATTTGCCAAGCATGCGCCGTGCTAGCGGAAGCGGTCTGAGACTTTCTAGGATCTTTTAAGGGTGGATTGAAAAGCCTCGACGTATCTTTCCGCCTCAACTTGGCAATTTCTTTCTTGAGGCCTTCACACCGTGCTTTCTGATGTTCGCCCTTTTCAAGTTCCTCTCTTAACCGTGGTATATACTTGTTCTTTCGCTTTGCCTTCTGTTTTCATATCTCTTCCATTTATATACATGGCAACTTGATAAAGGTACAAAGAATCCGTGTTCGCTGACTTCTGCACAAAGGCTACTGCCACTTTCCAACTCTTCACACCTTTCGCATGTTTCAGTGCCTGACATCTATTTGCTACTTGTCTATGTTCTCGGAAGAGACTTGAAACAAAAGATTTCATGCCAAACCGGCACGTTACGACAGAGCGTCAAGAATTGTTGCTTTTAAGGCCTCTTGAGCAGCTAGTTCGAGTTATAACAACATACTTGGAGGGACATCTATCGCTTCACAGAGAAAAAATGGCTGCTAAGCACAGGTTGCTTCTCATCTCCAAGCCCGGGGCCTGGGCGCTGCCACTTCTGCACCTGTTTCCTCAAAACTTTGCAGTTTCGAGGGTTGGGCTCAAACAGCATCATCCGCAGAGAATCCTGCCCGACAACAAAGTTCGTTAGTTCAAGAGCAAACTGAAACCATCCAGGAACAAACCTGAAAAAAAATTACCGATGGCGCCAGTTGCACCTGTGGCTGGCATTCCAAATCGTAGCTACTGGCCTGGCGTGGGAAAATCGTGGCTGAGCCACACGTCAACTGTGTTTGAACATCTCAGGGGGAAAGAAACGAATCCGGTGAAACCACCTGGAAGATCATTGCGAGCAGTGGAAGCGGAATGGCAAAATCTAATCTTCATAACAGGAAACGCAAGGGCAGCAAAAGCACATCAACAGGTTGTGGTTGGAAGAAACGAATCAAATTTCAATTGCATAAGCCGCCACCAACAGGGAAAATCCTCGCCATTTGCAGATTTTAGGCCCTGGGTATCTTCCGCTCGCCTCCCCCAAGACCTTGAGGATTGCGGCACTACTTTGACCATAATGTGCGCCGACATCGATCAATAAACCTTGATGCAAAGACCTGACCAAGAATGGACTTGGAAACGCCCAAGCATCATTGAGTGGTTGTTAAGGGAGCTGGCTAATAATACGAAGAACCCCAACACTCAACACCAAAAAACACCAAAAAAAAAATACCAACAACAACAACAACAACCAAACAAACAAACAAACAAACAAGCCAACCAACAAACAAACAAACCAACAAACCAACAAACCAACAAACCAACAAACCAACAAACCAACCAAACAACAACAACAACAACAACAAACAACAACAACAACAACAAACAACAACAAACGACAACAAACGACAACAAAGGACAACAAAGGACAACAAACGACAACAAACGACAACAAACGACAACAAAGGACAACAAACGACAACAAACGACAACAAACGACAACAAACAACAACAAAGAACAACAAACAACAACAAAGAACAACAAACAACAACAAAAACAACAAAGAACAACAAAAGCAACAAAGAACAACAAACCACAACAAACAACCACAAACAACGACAAACAAAAACAACAAAAACAACAAAAACAACAAAGACAAAGAACAACAAACCACAACAACACAAAACAACACAAAAAACACCAACAGCAACAACAACAACAACAACGACGACGACGACGACGACAACAACAACAACAAGACGACGACGACGACGACGGCAACGACGGCAACGACGGCAACAGCGACAACCACAACAACAACAACGACAACAACAACGACAACGACGACAACGACGACAACGACGACAACGACAACAACAACAACAACAAAAACAACAACCACAACAACCACAACCACAACCACAACCACAACCACACCCACAACCACAACGACAACGACAACGACAAGAGGAACAAGAGGAACAAGAGGAACAAGAGGAACAAGAGGAAC